AGAAGGTCGAGACGAAGGAAGACACGATGAGCCTTGCTTGCGGTTTCTAGGATGGTCGCGTCTTATGCTCCGACTGATGGTGATGTTTCAGCACCGCCGCACCCGTGTCGATCCTGCCATCTACAGCCGAGTACGAGAGGCTTGCGTGTACAAAGTGGCTACTAAGCTGACTATCGTAAAGGCGCATGCGGCACCGGCTCGTTGGTCTAACCCAGTGCAAGACACATTGCGCACAAGAACCAGGTTGTGAATACATAACATGCCCATGTTTGCATCTCGAATACCCTCATCGCAGTCCCACACGCGGAGCATAGCACAGCCACAGGGCGCGCATCCCAGATCTCGGCGTTTCAGCCTTCCAGCCCTCTCCCGGCGCGGCAGCTAAGCCCAATCAGACGGTAGTGGCCCCTGCATTGCTTAGGGATGGAAGCAAGGATCTACCGACTGACACAACTGCCACTAAACTGGGGGCGTGTCGGCCGCCTCCTTTGAGGCAGAGGGACACTTTGCTTGTCATCCTGCCTTTCTTACCACTCCTTTTTGGCTCCCGGCGCAGCGCTTCTCCGGTATCCGCATACATTGCCATTTTTTGCGCACACCACCGTCTTTCCGTGGTGTCCACTACGCGACGCACCCTCCATTGTTCAGATTCGGCATTTTTGGGGAATTATTGGATTGGACTGGACCAACTGGATCTGGATGCAAAAGAACGAGGGCGTGATACTCGACTCCCACGCGCAGGCGAACTGGATCGCATTCTAGGCCTCTGAACCCCAGAGGACGAGCCGCGACGATGGCCGACTACTCATACCAATCGCTGGCCAACATGGGACCACAGGGGAGATGGCGGCGTGTGCTGTTGATTGCCATAATACCCATGGCATTGGCTCTGCTTTATTTCAGCTCTCCTTCATACGTGCCGAGCAGTCTTCGGGCACAGTACGTGTCGCGATCCTTGATTATTTACAACAACTGACGACGAGGCGCAGATTCCCGCATACGCAAAACATTTCCCTCCCCAAAGACGACATCTCCATGGCGACGATAATAAAAGCACTCTACGGCCCGATATTACATCCGATCGATGCCGCCAACTTTACCGACGAGGACGGAGATATATACAGACTAGCAGGGGAACCGAAGTTCAAGAGCAAGTTGGGCAAGAAGGTGCTCATACTGGATATCGACAGTCGGCCGTTGACGGAAAAGGGCCAGCTCATGGACCCGCAATTGAAGTGGAAGGGCATGCGTTCGTTGAGTGCGGGCATGCTCGGGCATTACATGTTTGGTACGTTTTCGACCATACAGGAGGAGACATCCAGGGCCGTTCGGCACGTGGAGTGGACAACGAGCGACTCGGCTAACATCTGACAGCGCAAATACACGGCTACGATTACAAGTTCATCCGCGCACCCGATTACGCCGACCGGTGGGGCACCTGGGTCAAGGTTCCCATGATGAAGGAGGCGCTCAAAACCCACGAGTACATCGTCTTCATGGACTCCGATGTCATGTTCCACTACCCACATCTGCCTCTCGAATGGCTGCTCAACTACTGGAACATGACCGACGATACTCTCGCCATGATGTCCATTGACCCGAACGAACCGCAAAACTACGATGCGAAGGGCAACCGATACTTGAACACTGGTTTCGTGATCGCACGACAGAGCAAGAGGACACAAGAGATGTACAAGGCCTGGGCGGAATGCCCTTCTGAGACCAAGTACAAGGGCTGCGCGCACTGGAAGACCGACTGGGCACACGAACAAGCTGCTTTCGGAAACTACCTGCGCTACGACTACGACCGACCGGACGACATTCGCGTTCTCCCCTGCGTCGAAGCCAACGGTGCACCCGAGGCTGCGAACCGAGGCGGTTGCAAGGGCGTCTTTGTACGACATTTTTGGGTTGACAAGGGCCTGGTGGCCAAGAACCTGGCGGACAGCGTCATGCAGTACTTCCTACCACGACTACACGAGGCGTACCTGGGCTCAGCGACCGAGCACATTGTCGACGCAAAGGGCTTCAAGCTCGAGGGCGCGGAGCTCATCGAGATGACCGAAGAAGAGAAGGCAGCGGCCAAGAAAGGACAGGGCAAGAACCAGAAAGATGAAGGGTGGTAGGACGACTCTGAACTTCGCAACGGCCTTTGACCCTCACCTCGCGCTCGCGCATTGCATTTTATTTCACCAATCTTGCGCCATCTACCGCACGATCTTTATATAACCACCATATATGCCGCTGCTATTTCATGGCAGTACTTTTCTGTCGGCGTCTACAGGCGTCCCATGTCTTATCGTCATGTCTTTGTACAGCGATTTTTCAAGCATGTTACATCATTATATTAGACTTGGGTGGGACGGGCATCAAAGACGGCTTTCCTTGATCATGTATGAGAATTGTTAGGCAAGAATAGCCACTTGGAATACCACCTCTTTTCACGTTGTCGATTGCGTTGAGCAAATACGTTGGTGATGCACAGGTACGTCAACGTCTTTTGTTTACTGATCTGTATCGCAGATATCGTGTGCCGGCCGGGTACCTCCTTCCCTCTCGGCACCATGACGCACGCAACAACCCCGGGAACATCCATGGATGACGACGATCGACTTATCTCCACGAGCGTTACAAAAGCCTGGCAAGAACCACCAGCCTCGCGCAATACGCCACTGCACGCGCCTTCTGCTATCGCGATGCAGTGTCGCAAACGATGTGCAGTCGCATTGGTGCACTGCACCTCCCCCGCTCTTGTGCGACGCCAACGATAACGACTATATTGCGGCGTGGCACTTCGAGTGGAACGACTGGTTCGGGTTTAGATGGACGAATCTGCTCTGCAGCAGCCGACGTGAGGGCCGACGACATGGATGCATTCCATCTAGTCACGCTTGCCAGATCTCGTTCAGTCCGCAAGACCGGGTACTTTCCTCTGCACTTCACTTGGATGTCCCGTCGATGCAGACGTCATGAAGCATTCTATCGGCAGAAGATTGTTTGCAAGAAACAAAAGTTCCGGACACGTCGACAGCGGGCAGAAGCGGTCTGCTACCAGCTCCTCTCGTTCGGAGTCTGAATCATTGATCCCTCTTACAACCAAACCCGAGCCTCGAGCGATATCACAGAGCCTGTTACCCTATACTTTCGACCAGCCGGTTCAGAATCTATCGCATCCGACGACCATAATATGACCACAATGTCAAGGACCACGCATTGAGAAACCAGATCTTTGGCTGCTGGCCCTTGAGCGCTCTGGACTAAGCAATGAGCAGTCACTAGTACTCCTCAGTCCGCCTACCGGAGGTGAGACCGAGCCATGGTCTCCAGTTCAGTTCGTGCAGGAAGTCAAAAATGTCACTCGCGACCGGTACGTTGAGTGCGAAAAGAGAGTATGGTTTGCCAAAACTGGAGGATACAAGGCCGTCATCAAACAACGGGCCGAGACGGTACTCATCGCCGTATTCGAGCTCACAGATTTCGTTAGCGAAGGACTAAAGTACGACGTCACTAGATACGGTGCGACAGCATGATCTATCATCACCTTTGGCCTGGGGGTAAGAACTGGTACTGGAATTGACTGCTCGTGATATTGACAATGGACATTAGCTTGTGCAGAACGATCTCGACAGAACACAATCCATATTCGAAGCTTCCGCTTTCCTGGCGGATCTCCTTGCACGCTACGCTAGTATCCTCCTGTCCAGCAAAACCAGCCAGCAATCCTTTCCAGGAACCGAATAGCAATGTCTATATGGCCGCTCTTATTGTTGACCCACGCCACCAATCTGCTGAAACACAAACCATTCCAAGTTCTTCATACCTCCACCACCTTTCTTCTGGTATTCAGGTTAAATTCTGAGCTTGACCATCTTGTGAATGGCGCCATGCATCGGGTCACTGGACCTGATCTCCGCGCTTGATTCATTCTCGAGCTTCAAAAACTTTGGCTGCAGCACAACAGTTGCTTTGTTTGGCAGATCAAGTAGTGCTCGTCGGTACTCATCGCTGTCACTGTTGATTTGTAAATGCAAGTGCAGAGAAGTGCTCAGTCGCACCGTCAATTCGGTGAGCTTGGGGAATCGAGTCTGCCAATCCTGCCCTCCTGCCTGCTGTGGCGCGTTGGGAGTAGCAGCTTTGTGGACAGAACGGGGACGGAGAAGCACCAGCCAATCGTTCTCAAACGACGGCTCCAGGCACTGTGTCGCGTTGTCAATGCGACGGTACAACTCCAGCTGTATCACCAGTTTGCGAACGTGACTACCGAACACAAACGGAGGGAAACGCCACTTGTCGTCAGCGCCCGGGGTAACGTGCCCCCAAGACACGCCAGAGCGCCGAACGACAAAGGTGTTGCCACTGTAGTACACTTGTGCGGCAAGGGCATGCATGCGCTTGTTGACGAGTAGCAAAGTTGGTAGGTTCAAACCTTCCTCGATGGCCTTGTGGTTCCTTGCCATGATGAACTTGTTGGTGCTGAGGGCGTACGTGAGGATTTGGACCTTGAGCTCATCGGGAAGGGCGTCGAAGCCGACGCGAGTGCCGCCGGAGGGTATGTTCTGAGTCATTGTTAGCTTTGGAAGAGGGAGTTAAACAGATGAGGTAGCCGTGAGGTTCGGCGTCTGGTGTATTGTAGAAGAGAGAGAAGGAGCTGGCGGTATGAGTTGTTGACGTGCCAACTAGTGCGCGCGTCATGACCGCGCACGCGACAGGTGAGAGTCAAAAGCTACGGTGACCAGGGATTAGGCAGCAACCTCTGCGTTTGCTCTACATGCTCAGCTCGCAAGATGACGGCACCCTTGATGAGAAAAGCGGTGTCAGAGCGGGATGGGTGTGGCGGTAGACTTGGTTTACCTCTCTTTTTGCCTGTTCGTATCACTCCAGACTTGGACTTAGTACGGACTAGAGCGATTAGCATCCCATTCATCACTCTTGAAGCGCCAGCTATGTCTCCCAAAATAACCATGTTACCTTCTGCTCAGGACATATGGCTACTTAAGACCTCATGCGTCTTCGTTGTCGTTGCCAGTAGTTGCCAGTAGCTTCCAGTGTTCAATGATATCGGCGTGCTTATTGCAATAGACACTCGCAATGCTATTGTGGCATTCCAGCGTCAAGTCAAGTTCCACCTCCTTTGCCTTGAACAACGTCTTTGTGTCAGCTAAGCACGCTCTCGTTTCCTCTATCAAGTCAGGCGACATACAACAGTCTTCATCGCCTTCTGTGAGATTGTCATCATCAAAAAAGTGGAAGCTGAGCTTCAGAGTATGCAGGTTCGTGAATCCAGTTTGCCAGGCATTGTCGTGGGGTGCCGTCATGAGCCATCTCGATCTCACGATTGGTAAAGGCAGGCCCAGTTCGTTCGATTGTAATAAGGGCCTTGTTGCCTGCAGCATAAAGGCCAAGGGTTGCGAATTGCACAGTAGTATATGTTCCAGTCGTGAAACATCCATGGTGTAAGCCTTAACGGTAACGCGTAAGTGCCGAATCATGCTTGCTATTTCTGCAGGAGGGTAACGAAAGGTGACTCGTTGAGACGAATGAGACGGTTTCTCCTCGATACAGATTTCGAAGACATTTTTGTTGTAGTAAGCGGTCCGGGCCAGCCGGTACAGTTCCTTGTTCCGCACCTCATAGATAGGTTCCATATGTTTGCGGAAGATGACTGTATAGTTACTGTCTGGCACGGGGCTTTCAGGAATGTCACCAACGATAAAGCATAAGACATAAATTTTCAGCTCCTCGGGAAGGTGTGCCCATTGCCGAAGCGATGGAGACAATGTTGCTGTTGTGATGTCGTCTTGATCTTGCTGGGTCATTGTCGGTATATGACAACTTTGGATCTGGTTGTGACTCAAGGTCAATGAGCATATCTTATACCATAGCTAGAAGTTTGCTCCTGTATGTCAGCAGGGCATATAATCTGCGGAATGACTGTGACCAATCCGCTCAGACTTCATGCTCAATGTCAGCGACCCTTGGCACCCTATGTAACCGCAAGCCACAGAAGCTGGCGACAAGCTCGATCTACGCCTGGTCAGTGCACGTTGCGAGACGGAGGTTGACTGCTGTCTTACACATTGCTGGACTGTCTCCACGTCCTCCTTACTGACGCCGATGCGCCTTGTCCCGCGCAAATGCCAGGCTGTCTCTCTCGGCAGATTTTGTATCATGATGCCGCTGAGTACGGTGAGCTCGGTCTCGACGTCGTTGAGGATGCTGTGATCGGATAGATAGAGGCCGTAGGTGATTTGCTTGCTCGTCCAATCTATACTGCGTTAGCTCAGGATCAGGAAGCGGCCAGGGGCTACATGCCGAAATCCTTTTGTGATGCCAACACGTTGTCGATGCCCTCCTGGTTGTGCTGGTACAATCGACCTTGCCATGCTGCACCACGTTTTGAGTTCGCTTCGTCACACTGCCATCCCTCTCTGCTTGCTGTCAGCTTCCGCAATCGCCTGCTGACGACGCACGACTTCATACCTAGAGAATGTATAATCCTTGTCCTCTGGCCTTGTGATGGCATCGATGTCGAAGATGGCTTCCAACGGCTTGCACACGCCCACGATGACGATGAGCTTGAACAGTGTCTCTCGTATCCTCCGCATCAACGCCTGACGCTTTTCGGGTGTTTGGCATTCGGGTCGCTTGATGAGTTCCTTGTAGAGCAGAGGCGCGAAGCCCGGCTGCCCGCCGCCTACCATCGCCGCGAGCTATGATGGCTTAGTCAATGCTCTCATCTGTGTATACAAGACATACCATACCAGAAGAACATACCACTTGTCATCTCCAAGTGACTGCGATGGGAACTTCTCCTCTATGGCCCTGAACAAGGCAAGAGCCTCGTCATCGGTTGGGTCGCGTGGTATCGGGATAGTACTGGCTGACATGATGTTGTTTGTGCGCTCAGGGAGGAAGTCGAAGTAGGATGTCGCGCCTTGCGGGATGTTTGCTGACTGTCGTCATTGGGTGTTCCGATGGTCGGGATGGACAAGTAGGACCTATCGCGACTGCGACGCGTCTTCGGAGGGGCGCGTCGCGCTAAAGCGGGGTAAAACTCCACCCATCACCGCGCCCCACGGAGAAACGCGTCGTTCCCCGGACCCGGCCTATTCTCTCAACCACGCACATACACGCGAGAACAAAGCTGGAAACTGTGAATATCTAACTGGGGTGGTACGCTCATATTGGACTAAACATGAATGCAAGCGCTTCGTGCTATCATCTTCCCAACAACAAGCCCAAGACTGTCATCATCACAGGCGGCGCAAACGGCATCGGCGCCAAAACAGCCCGTACCTACCATGGACATGGCTGCAATATCATCATAGCTGATCTCCCTTCCTCCAGTGACGCTGCCAATGCCCTCATCGCATCTCTCACAGAGCCATCACGGGCCCGGTATCACCCCACCAATGTCACTAGTTGGCACGATATACAAGCTCTTTTTCGTCTCTCGAAAGAGACGTTCGGTCAAATCGATGTCGTTGTTGCGAATGCAGGGACGATGGAGAGCAAGGGTTTCTTTGACTTCGAAGAGGACGAACATGGGGAATTGATGGAGGCGACCGAAGCTGGCAGGGTCATCGATATCAATTTGAAGGGCACCATGAACAGTGAGCGATGTTACTTTGCTATGTCTCTCCCTATCGTTCTCTAACGTTAGATAGCTCTCCGAATGGCTATGCACTCTATGAAATCAAACCCACCAAATGCGGACGGTGCACGAGGCTCTATAGTACTCATCGCCTCAACGTCCGGATACTTTGGCGGGACTGGAGTAGTTTCATACGTTTCTTCTAAGCATGGCGTCGTGGGCTTATCACGAGCCTCACAGTCTGTTGCCCGACAGCTAGGCGTCCGAGTCAATGTCGTTGCACCCTTCTTTACCCCTACGTATATTACCTCGGGTTACTCAGAGAAGTGGAAAGAGAGTGGTCTACCTGCGAACACAACCGAGGATGTCGCTGATGCCATCGTGTCTACAAGCGTGGACCCTGGAAGACAGGGTCATAGTATGATGGTGAGTTACAATGACTCGATATGTGGCGAAGAAGTAGTGCTGATCGAGTCACAGGTTGCAGGCAACTTGGTCAGAGAGATCGAAGAGCCAAGAACTACGTCAACGAAAGATTGGTTAGGAGAAGAGATTTCTGACATCATGACGAGAGGTGGCAAGTTTTTCAATGATTTGGGCGGTTACACGCTGCCCCAAGCACGATCTTGAGAGCTTTTGCGGGCTTATCTCACGGCCCACCTCATAGAAGGCAAAGCTGAACAGGTCTACATGCTACATTTAACCAAAATCTTGCAAAGTAGGTGACCTAATGTCAGCCTAGGCTCTAGGGTGTTCAGCTTCTCCTAGGTTGGCGTGGGCCCGTGATTTAGTGAAAGCTCGAGCAACATGCTGGCCGCCACCGCAAGTCTGCACTCATGTTATACCACTCACTCCTGCAGGCTTACTCTTAATCCCAAGCAATTATTCCCTAGAAACTGTTTCCACTCCACCACTATCGACTCAACCTACCCGGCCTCCCCGCATTATGGAACTAAAATTGGTCGTTCAACCCAAACGCTCTATCAAGCGCTTTATCGCTCGCTTCAGTCTTCCCGGCCTCAACAGATTGAAGAAGTCGATTCGGTCCAAGCGCTTCATCGATTATTTCCTAGCTCTTCCAGATGAGCTTAAGTTACAAATTCTGCGCCTAGCTCTACCCAATCGACAAAAGTTTCGGAGGTCGTGTCACTGTCGAATCCGCGAGTCCTATACACACGATGGACTCGCCTGTTACAAAGACTGCTGGCTAAATCTTGTGCGTGCAATCCCTGGGATGGCCGGAATGATCTATGAAGTTTTCTACGGTCAAAACACCATGGTCGTCTGCAATCCTTTTGCGATGGAGAATCGCGCTTTTCCGCCGCACTCAATCAACATGTTTGTTCGGCATCTCCATATTAACATCACACTCACACTCAAGAGTCTGAACTACATATCTCGGCTAGCTAATGGCGATATGGGGTTTCCAGATCTACGCTCCGTGGAGATAGACATCGATGGTCGTGTTTTGCCGTACCTCCGATCGTCGGTAGAGGCAACCGAAACACTGGACCTCACGGACGACGAAAATGAGTTCCCGCCCGCAATCGAGGAAATGCGACACTCTCTCAAAGCTATGGCACCAATGCTTTTCCACACGCAGAAACTAAAGATCACATACAAACATGCCTGGCTTACTGTCACGGACCCTGTATTGATATGGATACGTACCCAAGTCTGCGATCCTGTGGAAGAGCTGCTATTGCAAAAGATTGCGATAGCTGAAGCTCAGAACAGCGATGCGAAGTTATGTCGATACTACCGCTCCGGGGAATCGCCTGAATCAGAGAAAGAATACGTGGATACGTGGCCCGAGAGAGAAGCGGTGGGTATACCTTTGTCTGACCGTGGCTTCGGGCGCACTTCGATCAAGCTTCTGATCAAGTAGACGAGAAGCTGAGTATAGATTTTGAACCGAAGTCGGCAGTGAGGCAATACCCCTGTTCGTTCTAATATACCTACACACCGCCTTTGGTAGATAACTGCTGAGCTTGAATAAATATACATAACAACTCATTGGGTTCGTGATAAGAGTCACTGAATTGCCTCGCACGGGAACGGTCAAATAGTCTGTGACGACTTTGAATACCTCTAATTGGATTTTGACACCTCATATCCGGTTTCATGCTCCATAGCCCTACAGTCATGACATCGAAGTATCGTCGCCCGCGTCTCTCCACGAATCGCCTCATTCAATAGCAACGATGAGCTATCTGACTTGGAGATGTGCTCGCCCTACTTAATCGTTATCTGTAACACGTGGGTGTACTCGAACAACTCGCAGACCGGCCCATAAGGCCACACCGCGTCTTCGTCACCTTTCAGTATGGAGCCATCTTTGTTCCTATAGCAGCTATACCTCTCCGAAACATCCTCGTTTGTTCTTCCCTCGCTTAGGCTGATCTTGCTCAGTATTTTGTTTGCGAATGCACCTAGTATGCTTGCTCGACCCGACAAATCTCTCCAGCTGTCTCTGTAGCCTACGTTATCAGCATATGCGCAAGATACTGAGATGGTCTTGAAAGGGAATACGATAGACTCCATATTCTTTAAGACCACTGCGACATGCGGTACTAGAGGCTCGCTGGACCGACGTGTTAGGAGTGTAGGTTCTGTCGAGATGACTTTCATCCTTGCGGCCGTAAGTCTGATATCGATTTCGACGAGCTTCTCGAACCCAAGCTTCCCCGTCGCTAGCTGGCGGAGAAATTGTATACCCTCCTCAGTCATGTGTATGCGCACGCATAGTCGCGGAATTAGCGCGTTTATCCACCCCGGAGGGTATGGTATGCCGCCACGAGGAGAGGTCGTTATTAGGATCTTATTCTGTTTCAACAACACGTCGTATACCAAATACTTCAGTTCTGGAATGGCCATCAAGAGTGGCAAGACTTGTTTCGCGAAATCGAAGGTATGGAGCTGATTTCTCTCGAAATCCGGGCGAACAAAGAATTTGTTGGAAGGTAGGTACTCAGACAGTACCATCAACTTGATCTCGCCCGGTAGAGCGAGGAGAGGGGGGCGTGAAGTGGTCGTTTTGGCCATTGCCTCGACCGGTAATGTGACGAGACTGGAGCACCGAATCTGCTGGGCTTTGATGTCTGCTTGCTCCATAGTATCGTCGTTTTGCTTATTCTTGTTCAGGAACTTGAGATTAGAGTTGATAGTTGGGTTGGTCACTTGTGAAGAGAACAAGCAACGCAATGGTGACCAGTCTTATACTAAGGGCGGTTGAGGAGCGTACGAATTGCAGTAATACTGAGGAGTACATTGACGAATATATTTGGCGGGTCGTAGCTGCACGGTTGTTTAGGCTCCCGCGTTGGCAACTACGTACTGGCTCATAGCACCTAAGCAGGGACTCAAAGAGACACTGAGGCAGACGCTCATCCAAAGCGGTTCTAGCGTAGTAGTGAATGCGATGCGCGGCCAATACCGCCTACACCGTTGTTGCGAATGTCCATGACCCGTGATGGTGCGATAATTTTACGGACGTGTGGTCGCCTTTGATCGTATCGGTTATGTCGCGGGATTTGCGCATTGAATGACCGATGCTATTGGGCGATGTGTAGGAGTAATAGACTTCACGAGGCGATCACAGGGTTCATTTTCGTCTTAGTAATCCTCGAGCGAGCTTTGGCCCGGTGACGTTTTCCACGACCCTCGGCAACACCACCTGCACCTTCTACAATCTGTCCAAACGCCAATTGAAGCCTCACGACAGACTCTCTGACCATGGCGTCCTCAAGACTAGTTGCTCGCTCGTCGCGCGCTCTCCTCTCCCTCCCGCGCACCCAATGCCGCACATTCAGCATCTCCACCATCCGTAGCAATGAGTTTGAAGCTCTCAACAAGCGCACAAACGACACCTCCGAGACGTACCGCAAATACCAGATCGAGAGACCTCTGAACCCTCACCTGACCAACACCACATCTACCATTGCCAATGAGATGCCTTCAATTGGCAATGACGCAGCCCCGCCCGAGTTGATCACCAACGCCGACGCCAAATTCACACCCAAGGATTCTGTGCCCGAGAACACTGAGCGAATGACAGGCGGTACACAGGGCAGCAAGGACCAGGACGTTAGCGGAGCGAACAGCGAACTGGGTGTTGGCGAGATGGAGGGCGCCAAGTTCAAGGTCGAACCTATCCGCAGGACTGGCGAGGACGCGAACACCATGCGTGCGAGGTTATTATGTCCGTTCATACACTGCCCATTCCCTATTTCCCCCAAAATACACGATTTGGTGACCAGGACGAAACATGGCTAACGCACAATCAGATCAGAG